AAACAGAGAGACCAGATGCATAAGGTGGCCGCCTATGCGGACGACATGCTCTTCTTCGTCGCAGAACCCATGTCCACGCTACCAGCCCTCCTAGGAGAGTTTCAGCGATACGGACATGTCTCAGGGCTTAAACTAAACCTAGCAAAGTGTGAAATACTGGCGGTGCATACCACTAGGGACACACAGGTTAGAATACAACACGAGTATCCTTTTCACTGGTGCAGAGAACAGATGCGCTACCTGGGAATATGGCTCCCCCGCAATCCGGGCGAAACTTTCACCAGGAACTACGCACCTCTCCTAAGTAATATACTGAGAGACCTGAAGAAATGGTCCTACGACTACATCTCCTGGCAGGGCCGCATTGCGGTAGTGAAGATGAACATCTTGCCCCGCCTTCTCTACAGCTTCAGCACCATCCCCTGGCATTTGCCCCCGGACTTCTTCGCCAAACTCAAGACAGCAGTGACGAAATACGTATGGAGGGAGGGGAGACCGCGGCTCCGACACGACAGATTGTGCCTGCCCAAACCATGGGGCGGCCTCGCACTACCGGACTTTCGGAAATATTTCCAAGCAACAGTGCTCCAGAGGATTCGTGAGTGGCACACGGCCCCCGCTAACAAGTTATGGGTGGGCTTAGATAGAGAAGGCACACATAAAGCACTTCACGCATACATCTGGCACCGTTCGACAGGGGTCACGAACACCCTTGATGCGGAATCCCCCATCGCGCAGACACTGAAGACCTGGTCCACCCTGAGAAGGAACGTTTATATCTCACCGCAACCAAGCCCCTTAATCCCACTGACACATAACGAGGCCTTGGGGGGAGGACTGCGAGCGGATGCGTGGCCGACACCCACCGAAGGGGAATACATACCCCTGAGCTCAGCCTTGACCAACGCCGGCCTCCGCAACCTTCAGGACTGGGCCGCCACGGAACGCCTGACGGTAATGCACCGCTTCCATTACGCACAGCTACGACACTTCTATTATAACCTACCTCACAGAGAAGCGATACATAGAGACCAGACCTGGTTTGAACACCTTTGTGAGACTTCCCCCGAAGCAGACGGAAGAGTGTCGGTCATCTACCAGCGACTGCTTACAGGGGACCTCATCAGAAACAACGCCTTCCAGAGGCAGTGGGAGGACCTGACGGACAGAACCTATACAGACGCCCAATGGGCACAAATTCTTATTCTGCAGCATAAAAGCTCGATAAGCACCAGGTACCAGGAGGTGAATTACAAGCTGCTCTCCCACTGGTACAGGACACCTGCGAGGATACATAGAGTTTTCCCAGAGGTCCCAGACACATGCTGGAGGTGCGAAACGCAACCGGGCACACTCCGCCACATTTGGTGGGACTGCCCTAGGATCATGCCGTTTTGGGAGGAAGTGAAGCGTGAAATCGCTGCCATTCTGGGGGATTCATCTGACCTTACCATAGAGGCTGCGCTACTACACTTCTCCCCAGGCCCGCTGGCACTATACAAAAGATCGATCCTCAGGCACCTGCTAAATGCAGCCAAAGCACTAATCCCAGCAAAATGGAAACAAACTCAACCACCAACTAAAGTGGAATGGCTCCAGAGAGTAGAAGAGATTCATAATGCTGAAGCGAGATATGCCGACATACTCGGGAGAACCGAAAAACATCTGGAACTGTGGATGCCCTGGTACCTGTACACATCACAAACAGGATAAGTAAGAGACACAACTGGGACACGGGACGACAACACTAACACACATACTCAGGCCCACTTCCTACTTCGCTTAACCCCAACAGGTCATCTTGGGAGAAACACTAGCACTTTAAGACATCACAACACAAATACCCTACTCAGTAACCCCCCCCCTCAACCCCTCCCCCCCCCATATCTCACTCCCCTCTCCATCTTCGGGCGGACCTGGGAGTCCCCCCGGCGTTACTTGGACTCACTTGTAGGAGACCCTACGGGGCGAACGAGACTACATAGAGAAACAGAGGCCCACACGACGCTGCATTTCGCAGTAGGGAAGACCTCTAGTAAGATTATACTTACACTGAGAAGTGACCTCAGGACGACATATGAGAGTTGACACACAGATGGAATGTCGACACAGCACACTCGCCCTACGAGAGGCGCACTTGCATGACACAGTACAGATTCAGGTAGTAACTAAAGACTAGAGGACTACACCTAACACCGCCAGACAAGAAGCAAGACAATAGAGATGACTTGCTACACCACGAAGCCACTCCACGTGGACTTCGCCCCGCACATGAGAACCAGATGAAGATCCAGCCCTTGACAATAGACACTCCGTACTAACCCTAAGTAACCACCACAGAGCGGGAGACGCTAGTGTCAGGGCTGACGGATGGGAGAGGCCATGGCCTGGTACTTGACTATAGTACTCTGTAAGACTGACTCGTACTGCACCCCCCACAGTAGTAGATACTATCTTGGGACTAACCCCATACCAGATGTCTGGTAAGAGAACGCACGCAAGACTTATGTGTTCATCAAGGTTGTAGACCACTGGGCTTACGAAAGTGCCAATGTTATTGGCGTTACTCTTTGCGCATGTTGCGCCCACGCCATGGTAGTTCAGATGCAGACTGAGGTATACGAATCTCATCACAAGTTAGCGCATTACTACCTGATACTGTAAGGAATGTGCTTAGCAGTCCTGTTAGTAAGATAATGCATGTTATGTTGTGACCTGCGTGTCACCGATATTTGACTGAGCGGACATCACTTCCTACTAAAATTGTTCTGGTTTCATTTTGAAGGGACCTGCGTGTCCTAATTGTCGCACATTCATAGCTATTTGAAGATCTGAAAGATTGCACGCTCAATAAAAACGTATTTACGAAAAAAAAAAAAATAAGTAAATAACCCTCTATGTGACTGAACTAATGTTCACTGAGAAATCACTTTCTAGTCAGTGGGACCTGCGAAGTACATTGTGACAACTGTCCTCTTGCCATGTAAGAGAAAAAGATGCAGGGAATGTCACTTTCAAAAGCTGCCCTGTCATTCCAGCTTTGACAGTCCTCAGTTCCCCAGACATTATGACAAAATGAGATATTACTTCTGTTGGTCTTGCATACATTAAAAAAATCTGGGTAATAGTCTGGTCATTGGATCATTTACAAGCCACACACAGGACCTTGGGCGCATCCAGTGTGTGGCACTTCTCTCCCCTTCCCAAATGTAAAAAATACCCGCAAAACTTTTAAAATGTTTTCCTTGTTTTATAAAGTATTGCACAAATTTGTAAATGTTGTAAAACTCCTGTCTGCTCCCTTCTACAAAACCCCTTTCTTGCCCGCCACTCCTACAAAATCCCTGTCCTGCCCCCTTCTACAAAACCCCTGCAACTCCCTTCCACAAATCCTCTGCTCAGTCCCCCCTATACAAGACCCCTGCCACCTTCTAAAAAATCCCTGCACCCCTAAACACTGTCACACACAGTTATAGGCATACACACAGTCGCAGCCAGACAGTAACTCACACAGTCACAGACAGTCACATATACAGTCACAGGGAGACTGTCACACACACAAGCAGACAGTCTCACACAGACAATCACATATACAGTCACAGACAGTCACATATACAGTCACAGACAGACTGTCACACACACAAGCAAACAGTCTCACACACAAGCAGACAGTCTCACACACATATTACAGGCAGACAGTCAGACACACACCCACTTACAGGTAAACAGTCAAACACACAGACACACACACAGTTAGAGGCAGACAGTCACACACACACACACACAGTCTCTCTCACTTACTTAAAGACACTATGGGCTGGAGGAGGAGTGGATTCTCCGAAGTCCCTCCCTGAAGTCTGTCCGTTAGGGAAGCAGGGACTCCTTGCTTCCCCTCCATGTGCAGCAGTAACAGCAGCAGGTGGGGGCCGTGTTAAGCTCCACCCCTGATGTCTGATTGGCTCTGCTCCACCACTGGATTGGCTTCACCCCCACTTTCCTTTCATGTGGCCGGTTTTGAAGTGGCTGCATTGCAAGCCTCTGCTTGTGTGAACGGTGTTGGCCACCCAGTGCCCCAGCTGCCATGGCAACCTGTGTGGCCACACAGCTAACACATGCCTGGCCCTGGTCATGACACCCCATACCTGGTGGCACCCATGGCAGACCACCCTCTCCGCGCCCCACTTAGTACACCACTATGAAGGACACTAAACAAAGATACATACATTTGTTTGTTTGTGTTTCATCCAATACTAAATACAGATAAAAGACTATTACCTGGTACTATTAGAACTGAGGGAGAATGGTCAGGTTTCATAGAAATTGGCGGCTCTCCCATCCACCAGATGATAGCCAGCGGCTCTGGTGGTCCAACAGCTGCACAAGACATATTAAATGATGCGTTTGGAAATACAGCCAAATCTTTTGGTTCCAAAATAAAATAAGGGACACCTGTAAAAAATAATAATCATTAAAAACACATGGCCTAAATAAACAGTCCTTTCAAATATTCAGGCAATAACATAAAAAGCCTATGTGCAGTAAATCCTAAAAAGGGCATGCTTCCAGGGGAAATAATGCACTTAGAACTAGACTACAAGATGGCAGTTTAAAATAATAATCAGTAAATATTAAACAAAAGCTCTTAAATAATGGTGCCATAACACATTGAAACTGGATAACATGTAATAAACATGAATAAACACAAAAAAATGCATATTTGATAGAGCTTGAAAAGTGCAAGAGTACCAAAAACAAATGTAAAAAAAAACAAAAAATGTGTATCTTGTAATACCTTTTTTATTGGACTAACAGAATATTTTAATGACAAGCTTTCGGGAGAACCTCCCTATTTCAAGTCTAAAGTATGTCTGAGGAAGACAACACATAGAATTCAAAGTTGAGTTGTGATACAGGGGTGACATGAGTGCAGATAAGACACAGGTTTGTTAGAAAATAAGTTTGTTAGAAAATAGACACCATTCTTGCAAATATCTTTCTGAAGAGCAGAGTGAGAAAAAAAAACCAAGCAGACAGTGCAGAAGATGGTACACTTTATACATACACACACACACACATATATATATATATATATGCAAATGCATAAACACATGAACACATATACATACATTCGTTTGCATATACATATTTGTGTGTGTGTATGTATAAAGTGTGCCATCTTCTGCACTGTCTGCTTGGTTTTTTTTTTTCTCCCTCTCCCCCTTCACTCTGCTCTTCAGAAAAATATTTATGACCCTCTGCAAGAATGGTGTTTATTTTCTAACAAACCTGTGTCTTATTTGCACTCATGTCGCTTTAACCCCTGTATCATAACTGAACTTTGAATTCTATGTGTCGTCTTGCTCATAAATGTTTCAGACTTGAGAAAGGGAGGTTCTCCCGAAAGCTTGTCATTACATAATTATGTGAGTCCAAAAAGAAAAAAGGTATTACAAGATACAAATTGTATCTGCTTTTATACATCTGCATCACTGGACTAATACGGCTTCAATCTCTACTTTAACATTATATATTTATACAATATCTCACAAAAGTGAGTACACCCCTCACATTTTTGTAAATATTTTATTATATCTTTTCATGTGACAACACTGAAGCAATTACACTCTGCTACAATGTGAAGTAGTATGTGTACATTCTGTGTAACAGTGTAAATTTGCTGTTTCCTCAAAATAACACAATACACAGCAATTAATGTCTAAACCATTGGCAACAAAAGTGCGTACACCCCTAAGTGGAAATGTCCAAATTAGGCCCAAAGTGTCAATATTTTGTGTGGCCACCATTATTTTCCAGCACTGCCTTAACTCTCATGGGCATGGAGTTCACCAGAGCTTCACAGGTTGCCACTGGAGTCCTCTTCCACTCCTGCATGATGACATCACGGAGCTGGTAAAAATTAGGGACCTTGCGCTCCCCCACCTTCCGTTTGAGGATGCCCTAGCTTCTTTAGCAAGACAGTGGTCGTCTTGGAGGTGTGTTTAGGGTCGTTATCACGTTGGAATACTGCCCTGTGGTCCAGTCTCTACTTCAGCATATCAGAGTACATGTTGGCATTCATGGTTGCCTCAAACTGTAGCTCCCCAGTGCAGGCAGCACTCATGCAGGCTCAGACCATGACACTACCACCACCATGCTTGACTATATGTCTTTGTACTCCTCACCTGGTTGCCGCCTCACACGCTTGACACCATCTGAACCAAATAAGTTTATCTTGATCTCATCGGAGCACAGGACCTGGTTCCAGTAATCCATGTCCTTAGTCTGCAGCAAACTGTTTGCGGGCTTTCTTGTTCATCATCTTTAGAAGAGGCTTTCTTCTGGGCCAACAGCCATGCAGACCAATTTGATGCAGTGTATGGTCTGAGCACTGACAGGCTGACCCCTCCACCCCTTCAACCTCTGCAGCAATCATATGTCTATTTCCCAAAGACAACCTCTGGATATGACGCTGAGCATGTGGACTCAACTTGTTTGGTCGACCATGGCAAGGCCTGTACTGAGTGGAACCTGTCCTGTGAAACCGCTGTATGGTCTTGCCCACCATGCTGCAGCTAAGTTTCAGGGTCTTGGCAATCTCCTTATAGCCTAGGTCATCTTTATGTAGAGCAACAATTCTTTTTTCAGATCCTCAGAGAGTTCTTTGCCATGAGGTGCCATGTTGAACTTCCAGTGACCAGTATGAGAGAGTGTGAGAGCGATAACAACAAATTAAGCACACCTGCTCCCCATTCACACCGGAGACCTTGTAACACTAATGAGTCACATGACACCAGGGAGGGAAAATGGCTAATTGGGCCCAATTTGGACATTTAAACTTAGGGCTGTATTCACATTTGTTGCCAACAGTTTAGACATTAATGGCTGTGTGTTTAGTTATTTTGAGGGGACAGCAAATGTACACGGTTATACAGGCTGCACACTTACTACTTTACATTGTAGCAGAGTGTCATTTCTTCAGTGTTGTCACATGAAAAGATAAAATAAAATATTTACAAAAATATGAGGGGTGTACTCACTTTTGTGAGACACTGTATGTACATATATAGGCAGTGGGTAGCTTTTCCTGTAGTGTTGCTCTAATTAAAGAACATTGTAACTTTATCCCTTCTACAGAAATAATATTTAGATTTTTCTCTATCAGCAGTCTGTTACTTTGGAACTTGTGGGTTGACTGTTACTCACACCTGGATACAAGACAAACAAAAATATGGTTCTTTAATTCGCTTTCAGATGTCGGATAATATTCTGTTACTCTAGCTAGATTTTTTTTCGGTTTGTCCTGTTTAAATGCAAGATTTGCAGGATTAAACACCCACATTTCATAAGTCTTATTAACTCACAAGGTCATTCTCTAAACTGTGAATTGCTGAAATGTTGAATTCTCAGAAGGAACGGGAAAAACGTTTGAGATAAAAAATAAAAAAAAACCTTGCCTGGGCTTCCATACCGAGCATATGTAGGAGGGGTAGATTAATGCTTTTCCAGGAGCTTGTATAAATTATACATTCATTATATTTTTTTACTACAGAATTCTTTAACTACTGTACAACACACAATACCTATCCACAGATAAAATGTGAGAGATCTAGTCTAGCTCAAGGATATATTGTTATTCTTGTAGGTGAAGGTCTATTTTAGTAATACTGAGTTTTGGCATTTAGTGTTCGATTGTAACCCAACTGACCGTAAGGGCCTCTAGGAATTATTTATTAGGAATTATTGTAGTATTGGATGGATGACCATGTCCTCAGATATGTAACCTACCTTCCACCATAATCCAAATGTCACTAGACACTGCCTTCTTTCCATTGTCCTCTGCCTCACACCAATATCTCCCGGCATCAGGTCGCTCGACGTTTTTCAAGCTAAAAAGACATAATTGCAGACTAATAGTTTATTCTCCTGCAACATTACTAATCTAAAGTAAGTGGACACAGAAGTTACATCAGGTTTTGACTGATTTAAGGAAAGAAAAAAAAGAAAAAAAAAACATAAAAAGGAATATCCTGATATAACCTATAATTTAAAACAGTGAGATTAGATTTAAATTATATTTTAAATCTCTAGTCAGTAAGATGCAATTTAAATTGTGATTTTTCAGTCAACGTAATGATTTAATCCTTGCTGGTTGTTATAATCCATAGTATTTGCAACCAGGTGAAATTAAAGCAGATGGTACGTTTAGAATAACTTTTCAGATTAGTTTAAAAGTTATACCAGATCTTATTTTTGTTATACAGCATTAGCAATTCATAGATAATAATACAATTATTGCAAGATTAACTATCTCCAGTTTAATCACTCATATCAGGAGAACAACATAAATTATTTTATTTAACCCCTTAGTGACCAGCCTATTTTTCAATTTTCTTACCGTTAAGGACCAGGGCTGTGTTTAGCTGTAATTTTTCTCTTACTCCTTTACTGTACCCACACATTATATACGGTTTTTCTCACCATTAAATGGTCTTTCTAAAGATACCATTATTTTCATCATATCATATAATTTACTATAAAACAAAATATAAAGTATAATGAAAAAAAATGTAAAAAAAAACCAAAACACACTTTTCTAACTTTGACCCCCAAAATCTGTTACGCATATACAACCGCCAAAAAACACCCATGATAAATAGTTTCTAAATTTTGTCCTGAGTTTAGAAATTCCCAATGTTAACATGTTCTTGGCTTTTTTTTTTTTTGGAAAGTTATAGGACTATAAGTACAACCACTTTGCTATTTCCAAACCATTTTTTTTTTTTTTTTTAAATTAACGCAAGTTACATTGTAACACTGATATCTGTCAGAAATCCCTGAATAACCCTTTGTCACATATTCATCCGCTTATAGAAATGTGGTTAATGACATTTACTGTCCACACAGGAAAAGTTGTGCCGAGCAGCAACCTAATCCACAGAAGGGTTAATGCTGAGCAGTAATTGTGCAAATGAAACCTGGTGTCATGTATTCATCCGCTTAGAGAAAAGTGATTAATGACATTTACTGTCCACACAGGAAAAGTTGTGCCGAGCAGCAACCTAATCCACAGAAGGGTTAATGCTGAGCAGTAATTGTGCAAATGAAACCTGGTGTCATGTATTCATCCGCTTAGAGAAAAGTGATTAATGACATTTACTGTCCACACAGGAAAAGTTGTGCCGAGCAGCAACCTAATCCACAGAAGGTTTAATGCTGAGCAGCAATTATGCAAATGAAACCTGGTAACTGACTTTGGGGGTCAAAGGCCGGTTACAGCCTATCAGAACTAAAGGAGGGGTATTTAGGCCCAGTTCTCAGCCTGCTCAGTGCCCTGTCGTGGTTTCCCTTGTGGTTGTCTGAGAGCGCGTTCCTGTTTATAGTTTTCTACCTGGTTTTGACTTTGGCTTTGTTTATTGACTTCTCTATATTCTGGTATCCTGACTCCTGGCTTTCCTCATCGCTGTGTCCCTTTCTGTGTTCCCTGACCTCGGCTAGTATTTTTGACTATTCTTTGTACGTTAAATCCGGCCATTCTAAGGACCGGTAATACGTTACTTATTTGTCATCCGTGCTGTACAGTTCTACGTGCTGGATCAAACAGTAATCCTGACACCCTTCACATGTATATATTTTTTAAAAGAAGACAATCTAAGGTATTAAACTTAGGGTATTTTGACTCTTTTCATGCAACCATTTTACCACCAATCTATGCCAAATAAAAAAAAAAGAAGAAATAATTGGTGATTTTTTTGACACAAATGGCGATTTAAGAATACATGTACTGAGAACTTTAAGGGTTACTGTCAAGGAACACCCCAATAGGTGTTCAGCAACATCTCCTGAGTATAGTGATACCCCCCATGTACAGGTATGTCGGGTTCTCTGGGGCTAAAAGACCTTATTTGGAGGGTGCGCATTCCAGTTTTCGAACTTGGAATTTTCACAGCTGGTCATCATGCACCCATGTCCTATTTGGGACATTTTTGATCCGGCCAATGTAATTTACCCCCATTAAACCATATATTTTTGAAAAGTAGACACCCTAAGATATTTCAGATTGTGGTATATCACTTTCCGTGCACTAATTCTACCACCAGTCTTTGTCAACCTTTTGGGTAGTCATTTTTTTGTGTTATTTTTCTCTCACATTGTACCACATGTTCATGTTATGTATTACTGACAATGAACACCCCAATATGTGTTCATCAACATTTCCTC